GCTCTTTGGCCTCTTATGAAGGTACGATCCTATTCATGAGAGCTCCATTTTCCAACCTGATCACCCTCCAAAGGCCCTTCCACCACACTGGGATTAGGGTTTCAACATATACATTTGAGGGGTAGACATTGGCTTATTTGCAGGCTATTGTAACCAAGCTGCAGAGCCAGCGCAACTTAAATAATAGAATTTGACTTTCTCACAATTCTGGAGGCTGAAAGTCAGAGATCAAGGTGTCTGCAGGGTGGGTTTCTCCTGAGACGTTGGTCCTTGGCTTGTAGACACCATCTTTACCCTGTGTCTTCACACCATCTTCCCTCTCTATGTACTTATGTCCTAATGTCTTCTTATAATGACACTAGACACATTGGATTAGGACCAATGATGATGATCTCATTTTACCCTCAAGCACCTCTTTATTTTATCTTTTTTGGAAGATTTATTTATTTTAGCGAGAGAGAGAGAGAGAGAGAGAGAGAGAGAAAGCAGGTGGGGGTGTGGGGAGAGGTAGAGGGAGAGGGAGAATCTCAAGCCCAGTTCAAGGGTCCATCTCACAACCCCAAGATCACAACTTAAGCCGAAATCAAGAATTAGATGCTTGACTGACTGAGCCACCCAGTGCCACCGTCCCCCCATCACCTCTATAAAGACTATCTCCAAACACAGTCACATTCTGATGTCCTGGGTGTTAGGACTGCCACATAGGCGTTCCAGAGGGATACAACTCAGCCAGTAACAAGAGATTCATACATGTGCCCAGTGTTGGTCCCTACTAACAGCTTCCTTCTCTGGAATTCCTTCCCCATTTCCTGTATTGTCTGGAGAAACCCTGGGTGGTGAGGATAGGCACACATTCCCCCCCTTTTTTATGCCTATTAAGGTGTTCTGATGACGACTAGTCTCCCCTTCCACCTTCAATGACTTGACTTTTAGACAATAAACAGCACTGCAAAGACTTGGCTTGCTCCTGGCTCCACAGTCTTGCAGCTGTGGGACCTGGGGCAAAAGCACAAGTTTCTCTGGCGTGGTTGGTCCCTCTGCAAACCAGCAGCTCTGCTTCCATGAGCCTCCAACTGTGATTCATGCATGATATGTTATAGCAAGAAAGAAATAACTTTGATATTTATCAAATGGATTTCCTTAAATAAAGATGAAGTTTTATGTAAAAAAGTGAGACAGCATCTAAAGTGGTGTTAAATTATTAAAAAAACAAATTTATGTATAAAAGCTAGTTTTTGTGGTCCTCTAAAATGAAACCCTTCCCAAGAAAGCCTGGGAAAGTGAGTGCTGAATATATGTGTTCACACGCCTGAAGTCAGCCCAGAGGGGCATTTTTTTTTTCCTATGGGAGCTAAGTTTGCAAGTCAAAAGAGGGCAGAGAGGTCTTTTTCTATGAATTCATTGTTTGAGGCTGGAAATGGGCTTTTGATCTCTGTTTTCAATTTCCTTTAACTTCAGTGTGTTGCTTGTGTTACAAAGAAACAGTCTTTGGAGTCCAACCTAACAGCAGCGTCTGGCTCTCCTAGCAGGCAAATTCAACGCCAATCAGTCTGAGATGGTGAGTGAATCTGCCCGATCCGCCCCCCTGCTCTTGCCCCTAAGGGAAGGTGACCTCGCCTGGGACAATCCTTAGTTTCTTTTGCTAGTAACTTCCTTGCCCCACCCTCCTTGCTATAAAAACCTTCCATTATGTGCCGCTCTCAGGTGGGATGCCGCTCGGTGGGATGCTCAACCTCACTTATAGAGGCCACTTTTAGGCAACAGGCTTCAGCACTGGAAACTGAGCGAGGCAGGAGGGCCCACAGGCTCGTGAAGCGACCCACCTCAAATAGCCATAAGCCTTCACCGACCAGTTACAACCAGGAAGAGTTCTTTTACTTTTTTTTTTTTAAGATTTTATTTATTTATTTGACAGACAGAGATCACAAGTAGGCAGAGAGGCAGAGAGAGGAGGGGAAGCAGGCTCTGCGCTGAGCGGAGAGCCCGATGCAGGGCTCCATTCCAGGACCCTGAGATCATGACCTGAGCCGAAGGCAGAGGCTTTAACACAGAACTGTGCCCCACTCCACCGTATAACTGTGGCCACTGCCTTGTGGCAGATGGCCTCTCCTCTGCTGTCCTGCCTGCTGCCTGGCATAGTATTCAATAAACTTCTCTTTTGTTCTGCCTTGGGGGAACTCTTTCATGCTGGGTCACCAGCCCCCACCACCGTGCAATGCCCCACATGATTCACAATAATAATAACAGTCATGAAAGAATTCTTGAGATGTTTTTGTGCCCAAAGGTGCTTTTTCTTTTTTCTTTTCTTTTCTTCTTTTCTTTCTTTCTTTCTTTCTTAAATAGCTCAGGGACAGGACTCACGGGCAGAAAGAGCTGGCCTGGGCTTGTGAGGAGTGACTGATTATATACTTTTAGTTAGCGGGGGTTAGGGCATAGTGTAGGTCTCTAAGGAATGTGTGCATGTTAGAAGCAAGGTCTCCAGGACCTCGAGGGGCTAACTGCTCTTCAGATAAGTTTATTTACTACTGTGTCAGAAAACGTCAGGGATGAGAGCCTTCAGATGTGTATCAGTGGGCCGCGTGCTTGAATGAGGGCTGCCAATGTGTGTCTTGTAGGCGGTTGTTTTCTGTTATCAGAGGGAAGCAACACTAACAAGAGCAAAGCTATAAAACATTAAAAGAATTCCTGGAGGGAGCTGTGGAGAATTACAACCTCTCTGCCTCAGCCTGGCTGCCTGGAGGCTTCCAGCTGCAACAAAGTCCAGCCTTTGCTACTTTTTCTCCCACGGCTCATAATAAGTAATAATAAAGCCTCTAAGATCTTCCAATGTACTCAGCTGAATTTCTGTTTTTTAACACTTGGTTAATGCAAAATAACCTGATCCCACTGACAGGACATTCCTTTGTCTTTCCCAAACCGTTTCCAGGCTGCTGTCTTCCCTCCCATTCTCCCTTCGGTTTGTGCTCATTCACCAACCCCCTCTTTGGGCCAGGTACTGGAGACCCCCCGGGAGTGAACCAGGCAGAACCCTGGTCAGTGCAGTGCAGGCTGCAGACGACGCCACCTGGACCGACAGTACTCCCGAGTTCATGCTGGAATGTGTGCGGACCTGTACAGTACACAGAGTGTGGTATGAGCCAGCCGGCACGCCCAGGAGGCTGTCTGAACCCCTATGGGTGAGGCAGTGTGCTCTGGCTCTCCCCTGGGCCTCCACTGCTCAGCTTCCTGGCTGGGAGGGGCTCGGTGCCTAGCAGCTACTTCCCCCCTGCTGCCTGTGCTGCCCTGGGTGGGTGGTGGCCCCTATTTTCTCTGTGGTTTGGTTGGAGGTAGAGAAGTTATGATCTAAGCTTTAGTTTTGCTAGGCTGACCCTTTCCTGGTTCTTTGGCAAAAGAGATGGCTTCTGTGGAATTCCCCCCCCAACCCCCACCCCCCGCCCCGCCATCTCCCTGCCCCGGGCCTGTTATTATTTCCCTGTTGCTGGCTTCTCCAGTCTGGATATATGAAGCTAAAGAAAATTCTGATTCACAAGGCCCCTTCCCAGTCTACTTTCTCTCCACTTTTAAGAACCTTCTTATTTTGTTTTATGTGTCATGTTCAGGGTTTAGTTGTCCTTAGTGGGAGGGATAGGGAAAAAGACTACCTTCCTGGGAGGGGAGGGGAGGGGCAGAAGGTAAAGGAGAGAGAGAATCCCAAGCAGCCTTCATGCCCAGTGCGGAGCCTGATTCAGGCTCGATCTCATGACCCTGAGGTCATGACCTGAGCTGGTATCCGGAGTTGGATGCCTAACCCACTAAGCCACCCAGGTGCCCCGAAGTGCATGTTTTTAAAGACAGGGCATAGAATTGGCTTACTTTGTTTCTGATGACATTCCAATACAGAGCCTCTGTCTTGTGGTTCCTCTGGATGTGGATGGAAATCAGTTTCACCACTTCTGGGCCTGGCCATAAGGCGTCTATGTAGTATACACACACACACACACACACACACACACACACACTGCATGGTAAAAACAGGGACCAGTATTGAAGCTGTTGGCATCACATGCTGGAAAGAGTCTAGATCCTTCCACTTAGCAATCTCCCTGACTTTCCTTGGAGTATGCAGTAAGTGAGAAATAAACCTTTATCACGTTGAGCCCCTGAGACTTTAGGGCTGCCAGTTACAGCAGCAAACATCACATATCCAGACCAGTACAGCAGGTCCCTTCTCTTTCTTCACTTTCTCCTCTAACCAGGTTGGACCTCAAGGTTCATCACTTGAACAACGTTCTCTGCAATGTTTGTCACGTTACCCCCTTTCTCAGCAAAAGGAACTTTACAAATGGGATTAAGTTAAAGATCCTGAGATGGAGAGATTCTCCTGGGTGATCCCGTGGGCCCAATGTTATCGTAAGTTTCCTATAAGACAGACACTGAAGGTTCAGAGTCAGAGAAGCAGACATTCTGACGGAAGCCGAGGGTGGCGTGGTGGGGGTCGCATGGTGGCACAAGGCAAGGAAGTGGAGTCTGCCTTGGAGCTTCCGAAGGAACGAAGCCCTGCTGACGCCTTGACTTTGGCCCAGCAAAACTAATTTCGGGTTTCCAACCTCTAGAACCGTAAGACTGGAGTATGTCCCCACTCCTCCGTGTGACACTAAGAAGAGCATACAGGTAGATAAAGCTTTGAACTGAGCAGGATGTAAACCTTGGTCACAGCTGGACCAGAAATTGCCCCCCAAGAGGACCTGTGCTGTGACCACGGTGGGCAGTCGCTTCCCTCAGGGCAGGGCTGGAGCTGTGGATCTATGGGGCTGAGAGCCAAGGACGACCTGGGATGGAGCCGGGTGGGCCCTGCCATGGGTGGGCAGGCCCTCGGCAGGTGAGCAGACGAGGTGCCACCAAGCTCCCCTTGCAGCTTTGCTTTTGGGTCACTCTCTTTTTCAGCAGGTAGTTCCCCTTTACCAATAATTTCGCAACACAAAATGACGAAGCGGCAGAGGAAGGAAGCTGATAACAAAATACAGATGGGAAGTGACCTATCGAGGCCTGGAGCTCCTAGGCCAGATGTCAGAAGATAAGGATCTGGACATTCCGGGGCTTGGGAGATTGGACCACCAGTCTGTTTGTAGCTCGGCCCCCCTCTGCCACAGGTGAGTGGGTCTGGGACTTGTCACTTACTGAACCTTCCCTGGAGAAAAGAATGAAGCGAGTTTGGGAGAGGTGACACCCGGGTCCCAGGAAACCGTTTCCACCCACCCAGATGGGCGGGAGGATATGGAGACCGCGGCTGTTCCTTGCCAGACACAGAGGCGGGGGACGTTTCATCAGCCCACTGGTGTGTGTGTGTGTGTGTGTGTGTGTGTGTGATATCAGTTGTTACATTGTGCCAGGGTCTGTGCCTAGCATTTGACATCAGGGATCTCCTTCATGCCTCACAGCAGTCCTTAGGAGGGCAATGCCACCATCCCAATGAAGGAACGGGGAGCTAGAGAGGTGCCAGGCGGGAGAGGGGTGCTCTCTGGAGGAGTGGGAGGCCGGCAGTTAAGGGGACAACAGCCAAGCTTCCCACGAGGAGCAGAATGAGGACAAGCCAGAGGCCTGGTGTTGGGGTGTGCAGGGCCTCAGAGGAGCAGACCCTGATTCCCAGGAGACTTGATGAAGTAGCACAACTTGTCTGGGGGCAGCAGTAATGGGGCGGTTGGGAGAATGAGCCACTTCAGGCAGCATTAGTGACGGCTTGGGAGTGCAGCCACGAGACGCCCAGAGTCCCCTGTGGTGTGTGCAGGCAGGAAGCGATTGTTGATAATGCACCCGAGGGTCCTGGCGGGTGGCCCTGGTTTATTTCCCTTGAGGGGCCAAACAAGGATCCTGAATTGGTCTTAAGCTGTGGAGAGTCTAGACAGACGGATTTCCGTAAGAGTTGAGGAACTATTATATATATATACCTTTTTTTTCACCTGACTGAGTTAATCCAGACCAAACGGCTGGCCAGCATCAAGGGGTGGGGGGACATCACAGGGATCACAGTGCACAGTTGGTGAAGACTCTGTTCCACTCAGTGAAACAGGTTCTGACTGTAAACTTTGGCTTCAAGGAATGAGACCCGACCGCCCAACGTGGCCATTCTGGACAGCAATCTGTCAGGTTAAGGGTATGTTTTCCCTGGGGCCTGGAAACCCTGCTCTGGGTGTATATCCCGGGAACATGTTCTGCAGGCCCCTAGGGGGTGTGTGCTAGAGAATGTTCATTAGGTGCCATTCATGGAGGCAAGGAGTTGGGGGCCACCTAGACGTCCAACACCAGGCACTGATGAGTGGCCTCGGGCACCTGTTGCGGAGGAGAAGCCGAAGCTGGAAACAGTAAAATGGACACTCGGTGACACGGATGAGGCTTCAGGACCCGGTGCTGCATGAGAAAAGTAACCCCAGAATGAGATGGATGGCCCGAAACCGTGTAGTTTTAAGCATATGCCTACAAAGCAAGCATACGTACTTCATAATCACGCGGAGGCAAGAACGTCCACTGAAGGATTGTCTCTGAGGTGTGTGAACAGGGGATGGGATTGAAAGCACCAGGTAAAGAAAGGACAAGTTTGGTGAAGGGTGGTTTTCCTGGGCCTGTGAACTCAACCTGCAGGACCTGAGGAAACCTCCAAAGACCAAACAAAACAGAGCAACACCGAAGACAGAAAACCCGAGAAAGCATGTTGGGGCGGGGTTAGGAGAAAATGACATGAACACAGGTGGGGCAGTGGCTCAGAGGCAGGGGTTAAGTCTGCCAGGGCCCAGGTTGGGAGGGAAGGATTTATCTGCATCTCAAAGGAAGCTGAGAGGGTACATGTGCCTGGGCAGGTGGATGGGAGGTTGGATGGGCGTCCAGAGATCACCATGTGCACTGGCTTGTTGGCTCAAGGGAGCACCTGCTGTTTGGGCACTGGAAGTCGTTTACAGTGGCCAGGACGCAGAGTGTGAGCTGTGGAGGACAGGGAGAGGCTGGAGGCCAGCCAGGAGCTGGGTCTGGTGTATCACAACAGGGTCTGGACTTGACTGTAGCCAAAGGGGAGATGGTGAAATTTTGAAAGCAGGAAAGCCACTGAATCAAATTTCAAAGCTTCCTCCTTTTCTTTCAAAAGCACCAGCAACGTCTGCATTCCTCACACACTGGCATCCGGATTTGGCACCCATTCAGGGACATCACACCTCCACTCTAGAGGCTCTATTTCTTTCTTTCTTTTTGAAAACATTTATTTTTTCAGTGTTCTAAGATTCATTGTTTATGCACCACACCTAGTGCTCCATGCAATACAGGCCCTCCTTGATACCCACCACCAGGCTCTATTTCTATGGTAGTTGCTTATTAGTGCTTATGGGGCATCCTCTCAGGAGTTGGATGGGCCCCAGAGAAATTCTTTCCTTAATCATTAGGGTTTTGACCCACATTATTCCTCCTCTCCATTGTTTTATGCAGAGTCCACCAAATTTTCCTCTGTTTTCAAGATGCATTTGTCATTTAATTATTTTATTTCCTAGAACTCTACCTTGACCACCTTTCAAGAGGTGTGTGGATTTTCTTTTTTAATAAAGGAAATGTTAGAAGAAGAAACTATGGACGAGCTTGTCCTCATCACTGTTTCATCCTTCCTTTGCTCAGCAGTGCCTATATGGGCAGGTGTCTAATTCTTTCTCTTCTAATTTTGGAGCTGAGCTTTCTGACTTTTCTCCTATGTATAGGTTGCTCATTGCTGAGGGTGGGAGAGAGGTCCAGACACCTGTCTCTGGGAGGCAGGTCTTTCGTGTGGTGCCATCTCCCATACCCTGGTCCCTTCACTTCCTGCTGCTGATGCTCTGAAAAGCCTGGTCTTCCTGGGGCCCATGTGCTGGGCTCTGGATGAAGAATAAAGACATGGAATGGTGTGGGGGTGCAGAGGAAAACACCATTCTGAGACCCATCTCCCATCCCTACCTCTCCCTTCCCACCCACCAGCCGGTCTCCTGCCTCTCTGTGCTCATCTTAAAAAAAAAAAAAAAGCTTTATTGAGATATAGTTCACATATCATGCAACTTGCCCATGTAATGTATGCAATTCAGTGGCGTTTGGCGTACTCACAGATATGTGCGGCCATCACCACACCCGATCTGAGAGCATCTTCATCATCTTCAAAAGGAAACCCCATGCTTTCTAGCTATCATCCCTTTCTGAATCTCACCAAGTCCTAAGCAACAACTACATGACTTCTGTATCTATAGATTTCCTTGTTCTCGTCTTTGCAATGAATGAAATCACATACTATGAGGTCTTCAGTCACCGGCTTCCTTCACTTTGCGTAATGTTTTCAGGTTCACCTTCTAGCAGGTCTCATTCCTGTTAATGGCTGAGTAATAGTTCATTGTGAGGTTAGATCACATTTTGTTTATCTGTTCATCTGCTGATGGACATCAGGTTGTTTCTACCTTTTGGCTATTCTGAATAAAGTTACTAAAAACCTTTGTGTACCTGTTTTTGTGTGGACATATGTTTTCATTTCTCTTGGGTGTACACCTAGGAGTGAAATCACTGGGTCTTATGGCAACTCTATGTGGAATCCTTTGAGGAATTTGTAGACTGTTTTCCAAACTGGTTGCACCATTTTTCTTCCCATGAATGCGTATATGGACGTTCTGACTTCTTGACATCTTTGTTAAGACTTACTATCTGACTTCTTGATGGTAGTCTTCCTAGTGGGTGTAAAGTAGTGTCTCACCATGGTTTTGATTTGCATTCCTTGATGGCTGCATTTCCCTAATAATGTTGTCTGTGCTCAGCTTTGCACTGCCCCAGCTTCTACCTCCTCTCTGGTGTGGTGGAACAGACAGTGATAAGATGAGCCTTTTCTCCTAGGAGTTAAGCCTCTTCTCCCAAATGTATGTGTTCCAGATGCTTCTGACAGTTGCTGGTGGGGGTGGGCAGGCCAGAGCCCTATGGACCTCCTGCTGTCCCCAAGCAGAATGGCTCTGGGCATTGGTTGACACCAGACAGCTTTCTCCCCAAATCCCTATGGCTAACAAACTAGACTAGGATTTATGGACTTGATTTGATGATGTCTGGCTTCAGGACCTCTCTGTGCCTCTGTCTTCCTATCTATAAAGTGGGGATAATGGTACCTGCCTCGCAGCTTTGTTGTAAACTTAAATAGTTTGGGCAAAGCCAATACCTGTGTCTTCGAGAAGAATATGTTTCTGATGTTTAAGTTGAATTGGAGGGAGTGTATAGCTGTTTGACAGACCAGATGAGAAGCTAGTCCTGATCCATGACTATTCTAAAGAGTTAACGTTTACTGAACAGTTACTATGTTCCAGGCATGGTGACAAGTGCTTTATGTTTGTTCACTCCTTTATTTCTATGAGGTGAGGATGGTTACTATGACTCTATTTTATAGATGAAGAAGCTAGGGATGAGAGTGATGTAGCAACATGCCCAAGGGCACATGGTTAGTACACGATGGAGGTGGGATTTAAATCTGCACGACTCCGGGATCTATGCCCTTCACCAACACCTTTATACTGAAATAGATTAAGGGTGTACAAGCAGGTGGAGCTTCCCCACAAGTGGTCAAAAAGTTGGGTCCAGAGCCCAGAAGAGAGACTACGTTAGAGGAAGAGGTATGAGATCAACCACATGGAGGTAGTGGTTGAGAGATTCATGGGGAGTCCTCACCCCAGATATTTAAGTGGGGTGTTTTATGACCCAAAAGTATATAGTCAGAGAGAAGGGACAGCTGGTTTGGTCGAGCAAGTAGCCTTGGACAGGAAGAAGAATGAGAGATGGGGCCAAAGGCTCTCCTCTGTTGGAGGTTTCATATTTTGGGACTGACTTTCATGAAGACTCGGGGTATGATCCAAACTTTGTATTGCCAGGAAAAACCAGCAGATTTCTCTTGTTCGTAGTCAATTCTCTGATCTCTTGACACTCTTCCCCTTTTCCTAAGTAGGGCTTCAAACTAGGAAGTATCTAGGAGATGAAAAAGGAAGTAGGTGAGAGACAGAAACACATAGGAAACTTGAGCAAGTAGAAAGTGGACACCGCAGGCTCTGTTGCAAACACCTGGATTACAGCGGGGACCTGGATTTGCTGGGGACACCAGCCAGAGACAGGACCATGTGGCTGTCCCCAGTTCTGCTCCTTCTCTGCCTCTCAGGTGAGTGGGGCTGGGGTTTTGGGCACTTGTTATTGGAGGGGGTGGAACAGTGGGTAGAAGGTCTGTCCTGGGTTCAAGCCAGAGAAGTCTCAGCAGAAACAGGGAGGACACATCCATTCATCCATCTGTACATTCTTCTACCACTGAAGCATTCATCTACAGATTTGCATAGGCTTATTGAGCACCATCTGTGTGCCAGGACCAGCTGTGTGTCAGGACAGCAACTTCTGCACTCAGGGACTCATGGTTGAAAGAGGGAGTCAAGTCACTGTGATACAGCATAGAACTTTCTGTAGAAATTTATTCATGTGGTATGGAGCTGCACAACAGGGGCCCCAAACACTGCTCTTGATCCAGTGCAAGTCCTTATCGAGGCTTCACTGGACTTTGGTCTTGAAGGATGAATGAGTTTGCTGAGTGGACAGAGAGAATAACTTATGTGAAAGTGTCAATCTCTTTAAAGATCATGGAAAGTTCAGGCATTAGCAATAGTTCAGAATGTGTCAGAACTTAGTATAAAGGGGTTGGAAATGTTTCTTAGCAGGAATTAAAGAAGGGACCAAAAAGGTACCCTCAGCATGCATCTTAAACCCCTGCTAGAACAAGGTGTTGTGCAGTTAGGTAAATATAATTGTTTTGGAGAAGATAGTCTTAAAAAAAAAAAGACATTCAACATGCATGAGAGCCCATTCTCTGTGGAAAGTAAGTTCAGGGTAAAAATTAGGTGGTATTCTTCATGTTTATAGAATAATTTTTATGTTGGGTAAGACATAGAACCTGCCCAACATAATGATGGACTGTCCCAGAATAGTGGGTGGGAAAGGCAGAGGTTTAAAGAAAGAAGACCAGTTGGGTGACACTGGCTAAAACATAATTTTCTTCTCAGTAACACAGGAGAGTGGATGGGATGGTCTTCAAGGTCCGCTGGGGCCCTCATGACTGAGATCTTAGACTCAGAAAGACATTTAAGAGATGTATCTCTTTATAGACGGGAGACGCTCAAAATGTCTTAAATGAGGATGAAAATAATAATGGTTATTTTCTTTTTTTCCCTTCTTTTTCTTCTCTCCCTTCCCCCCCCTTCCTCCTCCGCCTCCCCCCTCCTCCTCCCCCTCCCTCTCCTCCTCCTCCTCTTCTTCTTCTTCCTCTTGATGATGGACTTTTTCTGAATCACTGTAATTAAGGAAATGGGCACCAAAGCAGCACTGGCTGGAGCCGGCTTGCACCCACTCACAAGAGCTGATCACAGACTTATTTTCCCAACCTTACAACCAGTGACAGCATATTGTTAGCATGAAATTCGTCATAGTGAGCGTGTTTACACCACAGAAACTGGGAAACGTTATGAACCATGGCTTCTCCTTGACTCTCCTGCACCCCACCTTGCTCCCTGCCCAGAGCTGGTTTACCAGCATATCACGGCTTCCTCACATCTGCTTGCTTAACTCTGATAAAATTGCCTAAATGCCCTTGCTTGGGTTCAGGTAAACTAGAGACGGAAACTTCTTCCCACCCCTTCACGTGGATTGGCTGATCTCTCCGAGGCCACAGGTTCAGCTTCCTGTCCATTTAAAGCTAGGCTTCCTCCTGGGTCCTGATAAAAGCTTTGGAGTCACTTGTAGAGACTGAAATTTTGGTTCTTTTTTTTTTTTTTTTGTTCTTTCCCATCCCAGCTCCTGGCTTAGCTCCCCACTCTCTGTTCCAGCATTCTCCCACCCACCATACCCTTTGGGATTACAAACACCTGGGGTTACAAACATTGGAAAAATGTGACCACTTTACATTTATGGAGGGCTGTATGGCTAGCTTAAGAAAGGAAGGGGGAAAGGTGGTAAAGAAAGATGGTAAGGTCCTGGGGACAGTCATGGGGTTAGGGGTGGTCAGTTCATGCCCTAAACTCATGTCAAGAAGCCTGTGAGAGTCTCCTTGGGACCCAGCCCTTCCTAGCAGTGTATCGCTCCTCCTTCGAGACTGGAGGAAGGCCAGGGTTTATTTTCCTCTCTTGAGAACACCTCTAGAGTGGAGTAAACAAGAAGCTGTGCTTCTACAGAACAAGTTTGAGTTGCAGAAAACCTGAATGCAGAGGCTCACTGCAAAGGGAAGTGTTTTTATACCTCACTGAATCTCATGCCTGCAAAGGCTAAGACAGGGCAGGACAGAGCTCCTGCTGCTCCCTCTCCAGCTTTGTTCTCATTCTCCCTGTCCCCAAGAGGCAGGATCCTTGTGTGGTTACTCAGTGTTTCTAGGCTCACAAGGCACAGATCCCTACCTCTCTTGCTGGCCCTAGTTGCCAGACTCTCTGGGTTAGGTTTTAAACTTAGATGTCCCTCCAGGCCCACATCCCTGAGCCCAGAACTGTCTACACCTCCCTGGCAACTTTCCCCTTGGGCTTCAGGCAGACAGCTGCTGTAGGGGACCTTTGAGATGGAGTCCTGGGATGTGGCTTGTGTCTTCCAGGCTCTTTGTCCCTGACAGGCCCCAGCTCTGTGACGGGCACCTTGGGTGGCTCTCTGTGCGTGCAGTGTCAGTACAAGGAGGTATACCAGAGGTATAGCAAATACTGGTGCCGAGGACAGTATGACGCAACATGTGAGAAGATCGTGGAGACCAAGGGAGAAGAGAAAGAAGAGAGGAGTGGGCGTGTGTCCATCAGAGACCACGCTGATCATCTCACCTTTATAGTGACCATGGAGAACCTCACTGCAGACGATGCTGGATCCTACTGGTGTAGAATTCAGACAGTATGGCTCCTGGATGTGTGGTCATATGACCCTTCATTCCACGTTAACGTGTTTGTTTCCACAGGTAAGAGATCCTCTCACTCCACCAGCAGAGCTTATGGGTCTTGTCTCTGGGTCTCGTCTAGTCCTCATCCCAGTAGTGTTGGCAAGAGCCTATGATGAAGACAGGGTGAGAGGCAGCTGTCTTTTTAGCCTTGGCATGGGTGGGAGTGTGTGGCTGAAGGTACCCTCATTTTCAGAGGGCCAGAACCTCACTCCACTGCGGGAGGCCCCTCCATGCTGCACCAAGACTATCTCCACCATGCCCTTTGGAAACCTGTACCAAAGGAAACAAATTCTTCATACATACATCTTCAGCTTACTCATACAATATTCTCTCGACTATACTGTCCTGAAATTGGCCTCACTCCTCTCATTTCAAAAAATAGGCTTGTTGAGTGGAAGCTGTTCTTTTTCCTACTTCCATGTGCTATAGGGTGGTGAAGCTATGTTCAAATTCTCCCAGTCCCCCACCACAACCTATCACTATCCTATCTGCTCCTTTAACATTTGTGTCACATGGCCACATGCATCCTCTACTTCTCCTTGGCATGACCTTCCATTGGCTTCTAGGTTACTCTCCGACACCCCTAATCCTTGTCATTGTCTTGGGAGTTTTTAACAAGTAACTTGTCTCAGCTTTCAGGACCTTCTCAACTGCGGTGACCTGCATTTCCACTCTCCAGCCACTCCATGGCAACATTGCACATCTTGCTGTCACCCCAAACTGGTCCATGTCCAGAACCCTACCTGCAGACACTGTACTTTCAGAGAACTTTCTGTGCATCAGCCTTCCCACACCCTCACCCCTGCTGGCCCTACTCGCAATCTCACATATGTTTCCAGCCCTTGGATCCCTCTCTCCATTCTCTCCCCACTTATTGCCTGCCCCTCCCCTGCCCTGATCTCACTTCCTTCCTAAGCCAGGCCCGACTCTCAAGGAGGACTACATTTTCTTCACTTGTCATGCACCATTTCCCTACCTGCTTCTCGAAACCGTCATCCCTGGATCCATCTAAAATTAGGGTGAGCAACCATTGGGGTTTGCCTAGGACTGAGAAATTTCTTGGGATGTGGGGCTTTGAGTGCTAAAACTGGGTGAGATCCTAGGCAATCTAGGGCAAATCGATCTCCCACCTAAAATCTATCTGCTGCAGTAGCACTGGAGAAGTCACAGCCGGTGATGATGGGTGTCCATACAAGTTCATAGTCTCTAACATGACTCTCCCATTCTTCTATCTTACCAAGGGCACATGGAATATCAGACGTGAACTCTCTCAATTTCTTTTCTTCTCCCCCTACAAACTTCTGTGATGCCTAACTCTTTCTTCCCCCTTTCCCTTCTAGGTTGAGGGCGGTTTCCCTCACCCTGTTCGAGAACAATCATCTTGAGGCTGGCTGCTCAACCTGGAGCTCCTTGCCTCCCTGTCTCCTCGAGTCAAATTCTCTCCTTGCTCATCTGTATCTTCCTCCATCAATTATCCACACTTTCTCTTCCCCTCAGCCCAGAACTACACTCTGGGTTCTCTCCTGTTCTAAAAATATCTCGTAATCCCCGTGGCCTCCTCTAGGTGTCACCATTCCTCGTTTCTCTCCTTTCTGCTTGCCTGGATGGCCCCTGAGGTCTGAGCCTTCTGTGCTCTCGCTGTATCTGATGGCGGGCCGCCCCTCTGCCCTCTCTTTATTGATTTGAGCCCATCGACTTAGATGCCTCTGCCCTGTGTGAGGGCAGGGATGGTGCCACATACGTCAGTGAATCCCCAGTGGCCAGATGTCAAGGCCAAGATGGATGAAACGGAGCCTGTCCTGGGAAGGCGAAGACTCTGGGAGACTTGCTTTTTTGGGGCAGTCATGAGGTTGGGGCAGAGACACTGGTCACACCAATAGCCTGGACACCTGAGACTTAGCTCCTCCCCAGCAGGGAGTTAAAGTGGCCTTAGTTTCCATCTGAAGGTGCTGTGAGCCCCCTCCTACAGTCTCTCTGAGGCTCCTGGGCCACAGGCGGGGCCATTTTCTCCAGGCTTGCCCCTGCTCTCTCCCTAGGCAGAGTCAGACTTGGGATGGAAAGAAAGATCCGACACTTACTAGAGGTGGCTCATTTGACCCGTTCTAGAAAAGTCTCATTTGGTCCCTGAGCAGCTCACACCATCCTGGAAGTGGCCTGACGCTAGCTTTGGAGCATCTCTCAATTCCCTTCTTCCAGTGGGCCATCGTGCATAACGTTGGGTTCAAACGGGCACGTAGTGGTTGGCTAGGGATAGAGTAGCCCCTGATGTGTGATTTGTCTCCAGCACCAAGTAAAACCACAGGGAGGACCACATGTCAAGCTGCACCTGCTGCCTTTCCGGGGCTGAACACCAAACAGAACCTCAGCATGGAGGAGCCGTTGACTTGCTGCTCAGGGTAAGGGCCCCCAGCCTAGAGACCACAGAAGACGGGGTTCAGCAGCCTTATGGGATCCTGGGGTGGGGGCTGGCAACACACCATGAGCTTTTTACCTCTCTGCTGGGTTTGCTTCAGTTTGGGTCACGATGTTTACATTCTCAGTGGCTGTATGGGGATTTCATGTGGAAAGTATCACTTGTTTTGGGAACGTTCTCCCCCATGCAGCAGCTGCAGGGGAACAGGAGGCTGGCTCATGTGGACATGCGGCTCCTCCCATGTCCACCCCTCCCCTTCTCCTTTCCCCCCCTGGTTCTGGACTCTGTCTTCTGGTTCTAGAGCCTTAACTCGGGTTTACCTCCAAAGGTCTTTGCTGAACCACAGATCCAGGTGCTTCTTGTGGGGGTTTGGAGAGAGATGAACTGGCTCCAGGCTACTTTCCTCCTCCCAAAGATACCCAGAAAGGGCTACCATGTTGCTCTCAGGCCCTGTGTAGGGCCAAGGATAAGGGTCAGGGCTTTAAAGTGAGGGTGGGGCTAGTTTTCAAGAAGTAGGTTGTTAAGGACAAATGTGAGAGAAAGGGACAGAGAGAAAGCTTCTGGAAAGCAGGCAGTGCCAGGCGCCTCTTCTCCTTGCCCCATCACCTCTCCTTAACAGAATTCCCAGGAGTAGTGCACAGTCAGGGGAGGGGAGGTGATGGGGCCCCAGAGAGGGGCTGCCCAGGTACATCTTTTCCAAGTTTGATCCTGAGTTATGAGGGCTCTAGGGTCAGGACACAGGAACAGGCTGGGAGAGAAGGGTCCTGGGCCTCCCCCCGAGGAGGCAGTCATTTCCTGTCCCTATGTCCCCCCCGCAGGTCCTTGCTCAGCAGTGTCCACTTCCTGCTCCTGGTCTTCCTGAAGCTTCCCCTGTTCCTGACATTGATCGGCGCTGTTCTCTGGGTGAACAGGCCTCCGAGGGGCTGTGGAGGAATTAAGCCGAAGGAAGATAATCCACAATGTAGTGCACCATTCCCAGGAAGGCCCTGTCCAGGAACGTAGCCCCTTGGACTGGACAAGAGAGACCTTCAGACTCCAGACTCCGGAGCAGGGGGAGCTGCTGTGCCTGGATCCTGGAGGGACCCAGGTCTTCTTGGGGGTATGGGTCCTGTGTCTTGAGGGAGAATCCTGGTTCTCAGAGGACATTTGCTCTGAGTCCTCAGGTGCAGGAAGGACGAGTCTCCTGGGCTCATGCTCGGGGGGTCCTCTGTTCTCCACCCCCGAACCCCTAGCTCCTTGCCCTCATGCCTACCTCCCAAGGGCAAGAATTTCTTGCCACAAAAGCTTCCGGGTTCAGTGTTCCCCCAGGGCAATAACCACCTCCTTCCTGCAGCCAGGAGGCTCCCTGGGATGGCAGGTTGCCACAGCCACCATGGGGCACACCGTCCTGGGAAGGACTCAGGTGGTTTTGAGTACTTGTCAATGGCCCCCTTCCGAAAGTGTGCAGGGAGGAACACAGTCTGTCACGAGCACGCGTCCCCAGCTCCACTCAGCTCCTTGCATCTAGACCAGCCCTCTCGTCTCCACCACGCAAAGCCAGTGATGCCAGTTTCCAGAAAACACTCGAGCTCCTCAGTACTGCATTTACAGGCATGGAGGCCATGCTCGGAACCCGAGCTCCGGCGTGGCTTCTGTTAGGGGAGGACCCCTCGTGACACCTTCCAGGAGACCTGGCACTGGTCCAGGACTCCACCGAGGGAGGAATTCAGCCAAAGGGGCACATATGGGCCATATGATAAAAAACACACAAGGCGATGTAGGAAACACAACGCTGGGCAAGAGGGAAGCTCGTGAGGTACTTTATTCTTTCTCAAACTCATTTTTAAGTACTCTAGTTTCGTCACCTTTCCGTGTAAATGTTAGAGTAAGCTTGTCTTTCTCTACCAAGACAATCTTGCTGGGATTTTGATAGGAATCGTGTTAAACTTATAGATCGATATTGGGAGAACTGACACCTCTCCTGTGTTGATAATGTGGTACCTCTCGCAATTTGTTTAAATAGTCCTTGTCTTCGGTCACCAGAGTTTTGTAAATTTCAGTACATGGGTGCTGCATATATTCCGTTAGATTTACAGCCCGTATTTCTTTTTCTTGTCCAGCAGCTGTGACTAGCACCGTGGGTTTCAATTCAGTTTCTACAGGCTTGTTGCTAGTATAGAAATAGGACTCTGTGTGTGTGTGTGTGTGTGTGTGTATGTTTGTGTGTGTATATGTGTATGTGCGTCTGTATTGATCTTTTTTCCTGTAGCTCATTAAACTCAGTTTTTAATTCTAGCAGTTAGTATTTTTGTGTGTGTGTGTGTGAAATCCTTAGGATTTTCTACATAATTATGTTATCTGCACAAAGGGACAATTTTATTTCTTTCTAGTCTGTGAGCTTTAATAGTGTTCTGGAAGCCTTAGGGAGCTGCTGGAAGGTCTTAGACACTCTGGTGGCTACGCAGGACCCGCTGTTCTCCAGTATTTCTGCTTTTTATTTTTTTTATTTTTATTTATTTTTTTTTTAAAGATTTTATTTATTTATTTGACAGACAGAGATCACAAGTAGACAGAGAGGCAGGCAGAGAGAGAGAAGGAAGCAGGCTCCCTGCCGAGCAGAGAGCCCGATGCGGGACTCGATCCCAGGACCCTGAGATCATGACCTGAGCCGAAGGCAGAGGCTTAACCCACTGAGCCACCCAGGCGCCCTATTTCTGCTTTTTAAAAGAGAAACCAGAAGTGAAATTTTTTGTGTTTTTGTGTAGGCAACAAACTCTATTTAAAAAATAATATTGTGACCCCAAAAAAACACATTCACAAGTTCATGCGATTGATGGGTGTAGTCTGTGACCTGGGAGTACAGCAGAGAAATGGCAGGACGTCGTTGCGTCTGCCTAGTGTTTACACCTGGGGCCATATGGAGCCCAGCAGGCTTGGGAACTGACCTTTCAAGTACACAGATGGGCTCGCGGGGATGCTGTGTGGACGAGCCCCAGGCTGGTTCCGGTGCAGATCCAAGTCTGTTCCCAGGCCTTACGACTGGGGCCGGGGGTCTGAGCCCTTCTGGGCTCCTCGTTTTTTAATGTGATCTGAAGACACTAGATTAATATTCTTCCAGAGGCATCTGGGGGGGGGCATAGTCGGTTGGGCATCTGACTCATGGTTTTGGCTCAGGTCATGATCTCAGGGTCCTGGGCTAGAGACCCACATGGGACCCCCCCACTCACTGGGGAGTCTCCTTCTCCTATCCCTCCCTCTCTGCTGCTCTGTCCCTCTGCTCTGCCCTTGAGGGTTCTCTTTCTCTCAAATAAATAAATATTAAAAAAAAAATTCTTCCATGTGGCAGTTCCAACATGGGGCTGCAAATTTCTTGACACTCCTTTTATTAAGAGTTGGGGGTATGTCCCCACCCCTTGCATCGGGATGGGCTGTGGCTGCTGCAGACAGAAGCCCAGAGCAGCGCTGCCCCAACTTTTTTCCATGATTATCTTCTAAGGAGCCTGTTTATTCATTTTCTCTTCCTAGAAATGCCCCCCACCAAGCTATGACATTTTAGTACTAAAGATATGCTGTATATGTCCATGTTCTACTGATCTATCAATCAATCCATCTACCAATCGATCATCTATGTTTTGTATATGAAAAGAGTAACATTGTTTTCACCGTCCAGGAAGCAATGTTCGTCCCTGTCGGAAGGCCCGGATGGAGCCTGGGGACAGTGACCCTGTGTGACATCCGAGGCCAGGCCAGGAGGAATCCCATAGCTCCTTGCTTAGTCTCTAGAAATGCTGGCTCTGGGGATTGTCCCACTCAGAACCTGGCGGCCACATGGAGAGGCTGCCTGTAGGGTCTCGGGTCCACAGGAGGGGGCTCTGTGTTGGGTCACCCTGGCTCCTGTTCCAGACACAAGGGCAAAGAAGCTTCTGGATGACAGTGGCACCCAGCCATGTGAGTCACCCCGCCAGCATTATGTCATCCCAGTTGAGGCCCCAGACATGATGGAGCAGACAGGCTGTCCCCTCTCAACCTGTTTGAATTCCCAACTGTGGAATCTGTGACATGACAAAGTGATCACTGTTTTATGCCACAAGGAAAATCCAAGTATGGATCACGGGACCATTTGGCTCTGTCCATTCTAGGATCGGGCAAGAAGGTAAAGAGGAAGGTGCTGCCTCTGCCGTGGGCACGGAGGGCTGTGGGGATGCTGCAGGCTGCTGCAAAGAGCCCCTCTGGGACTCAGCCCTGCAAAGGGGACGGTGGCTGGGAGCTCCCACATGGTAAGACACAGGCCTTGAGGTCTCGCCCTTTCCTGACAGGCGACCCAGAACCGTGTGGCTGCAGGTGTTGGCTTGTGGAGGAGGTGTTCCCCCCAGAAGACGCCCTCTGCAGCAGAACGCCCCACTCCCAACCCGACACACCAGCTTCGGTGTTGCCCTGACCTCCTTCAAAGGAAAGCTCCAGACAAAAACAAACCAGCACCTTTTCGAAGGGGCTCAAGGAGAGGAACAGAGTGCCAGCAAAATTTTGCTTCAGAAAGAGTCAATTATCATATGGTTTCACTTATTTGTGGAGCATAACAAATAACATGGAGGACAAGGGGAGATGGAGAGGAGAAGGGAGTTGAGGGAAATTGGAAGGGGAGATGAACCATGAGAGACTGTGGACTCTGAAAAACAATCTGAGGGTTTTGAAGAGGCGGGGGTGGGAGGTTGGGGGAACCAGGTGGTGGGTATTAAGGAGGGCACGGATTGCATGGAGCACTGGTGGTGCAAAAACAATGAATTCTGTTACGCTGAAATTAAAAAAAAAAAAAAAAGAAAGGCAATGCTCCAGGACTCCGCTTGTTCTCAGAGAAATTACAGACAACGACCTCACTGAAAAGGAGCTCAGAAAAGAGATATAGTTCCCCAAAATTGGTTCAAAAAGTATGGACACAAAAAAGAGTAGCCAGAGCCCGGGAAAAATATTAAGTGGAAGACAGGAGAAAAAAAAAAACAAACAACCCAGCAACAACCAAAGAACAAAACCTTTGCTGAGAAAAAATATGTATATCTTTGAAAATTAAATGAGGAAAAGACTTGTGTTATTTTTTGATGTGAGTGGGAGGAAGTTAAACAGGAAGGGACCAGTATTCTGTCTTGCCCTTGCTCTGCTGGGGAGCAGGGGAGTGTGGGCAGGGCAAAGTTCAGGTGAAACCCAGGAGGGGGTGATGATGGTCTGAGCTGACTGGGGATGGATGGCATCACAGGCATGAAGCAGACAGATCTGAGCCCTCATTTGTCCTGTCTGGATGGAGACGTCCAGACTGTTCCTGGAGCCCTGCACCTAAAGGACCAGAGAAGCTAAAGGAAAAAGGGAGGGACAGAAATGAACTGTTCTTGTGACCACTGGGTGAGTCCCCTGCCCTTGGAGGCCACTGATACAGATACAGGGACATGTGGATATTTACATTATTTCAAAGTCCTTCCCCACAAAACACTTATTATTTACACAGGAAAAAAAGGGTAACTTCATTTAGCTTTGACCGATTTATAGTCATATATCTGCATCCCTATTAAGATCTTGACTGCAATGACAGTAAACTAAAAAAACCAACCTTAAAAAAGGCTCATTCACTGCACACCTAGCTTGTGAAGGCTTTCAATATGTGAGGTATATATATACCATGATTTTCTTTTTGAAAATACAGAAAACAGGGGCACCTGGGTGGCTCAGACAGTTAAGCATTGGACACCTCATTTCAGTTCAGGTCACAGTCTCAAAGTCATGAGATTGGGACCTGCGTCAGGCTCCACACTGGGCATGGAGTCTGCTTGGGATTCTCACCCTCCTTCTGTCATTCCCCCTTCAGCTTGCATGCTCTCTCTCTCTCTCTCCCTAATTAAGAAAAAAAAGAAAGAAAGAAAGAAAGAAAGAAAGAAAGAAAGAAAGAAAGAAAGAAAGAAAGAAAGAAAGAAACACGAACACAGAAAATGACTTCCAAACCCAAGTCCTTATACTTTTCTTTGTTCACTCCTGGCCATCAATGAAATTTCCCATCTATAGGAGGGGAGCCCTCATTGGGAACTCTTTGAGGGGATTAAAAGGCATCATCCAGGGATGGCTGGGTGGCTCAGTTGGTTAAGCAACTACCTTCAGCTCAGATCATGATCCCGGGGTCCTGGGATCGAGTCCCATAGCAGGCTCCCAGCTCCATGAGGAGTCTGTTACTCTCTCTGACCTCCCCTCTCATGCTCTCTCACTCTGTCTCTCTCAAATAAATAAATAAAATCTTAAAAATAAAAGGCATCATCCAGGTTTCTCCCTTCTTTCCTTCTCCCACCTCCTAGTTGCTGGACACATTGTGACTCTAGTGTTGGATTTAGACTCACTTTGGACCCTCTAGTATGGATGGGTTCTTGTTCTCACATATAAAAGACTGAAATAGCATCCCAGTGAAATAATCTCAAAGGAGCCCAGGAAAAGCCATAGATTTAATAGCAAAGGTATGGAGCAAACAGATGGGATGTGGGCCGGAGATGGTCCAACCCCTCTTCCATCTGATGTTCAGGCGACTTTAACTCCAGGAGGCACCGAAGGGGCAGCAGGTGGGATCGGCAGGACTCTGCACACCTGGTCTTCGGGGGTCTCTGACCATGTGCAACCCCCTCAAGCTTTTTGGTTTAATTCTGGTTTTTAGAGGGACTGGTTGGTTGGGAATTTTAAAACCCATCATTGGCCAGAGTCCTGCATGCTGCAATGGTCCATCATCTTTGGCAGAGCCCCTCCAGGGTCACAAGGAAAAGAGGCAGCAGGAGGGTCCACACAGGAGGCTTCTTGGCTGCTACAGAGGAGGCCATCGTCCCCGACCTGTGCGGAGCAGGGAGGCAGCCAGAGCTTGTGCCTGAGGTCAGGACGAGAGGAATCCCCAGCTAACGGGGATCAGATCTGTCTTGGAGCTGCAACACTGCCTGATCCCTGCTCAGAGGTCAGAGGGTGCAGGCGCGTCAGTGTCATGGGAGCTGTGGTTCTCCTGTTCAGGCTGACTCTATTCTCTCCCTGGGTCCCTCTGACCCTGGCTCAGCCCCACCACAGTCCACAGCAGGACCCCAAGCCTGGGCACCTTCACAAAGGTCGAGAGCACAAAGTGAAGGCTGCACAGCAGGGCCCTGCGCAGGGAACAGGGTGACAGCTGTGAGCTCCCTCTTCAGGGACAGCCCCAGCCCCTTCCTCCCTGACCTGACGCCTGAGCCCAGACCTGCAGGACAAGCAAGCCTTGGTCCTGCTCGGAAGCCCCTCTGAGGGCACAGCCATGTTGCCCAACTAAGGATAAGCCTTTAGGGCCTCCCTGCAGGCTTAGCCTGGGGTCAGCACCTCTGCCCCTGATTTCATCCTGCTTTTGGGCTCCTGTCCCACAATTCCCCTCCACCTCACCTGCAGGTCAGCCAAGCTGAAGGGTTTGCCTTTGCCTGTCTTTCTTATTCTATTTGTGTCCTACCTTGTGTCAGTGCTGCCCAAATTTCCATCTCTGATCTAATATTACCTCTTTGAAGCAAGAAGGATCCCCATTCCTGTTCAACTTGGGTATTTACCTTCAAGGTTCTCCCGGGAGGTGTCTCTCCCAGCTTTGCCCCCCCACCATGGTAGCATGTATGGGGTGTACGCTCATACATCCCGTATAGTGGATGGGGTTCTAGATGGATGATGGGCCTTGCTTACATGTGTCCCCCTGGTGGTCCCTCTCAGTATCCAAGAGTCTGGACCTCTCATCCTTGACCTCAAGTCTTCCTCCACAAGCAGGGCAAGGACCCCCTGCAGGCCAGCCTTGCTCTGTCCTTCGTCCTGCCTTGAGCATGATGAATCATGTGGATTTCACAGGTGGTTTTCTGGAGAGAGGGGCAAAAGCATTGCTTTGCCCTTCCTCAAAACGTCTTTTAAGACACTGTACTCTTTTCACACTCCCTGTGGGGATGCTATCCTGTCTCTCCACATTGCAGGCTTCCTCCCATGTTCCTTGGTCTCTTGGTCTCTGAAAAGTCCTACATCCTCTACTCCCCACTCAACAGAACAACTGGTCTCCAACAGTCACCAGCAGGACAGAAGCTCATCATCAATCATGAGCCAAGTGCTTTCCTCGTTCAGAGGATTGACTGAACAAAATGTCTACAGGGGCCAGGTTCCAAGGAATAGGGCTCTGGAGAGGAAAAGAACTTGGACTGGAGCTGGAAAGGAGCTGGTGGAGGGTGTTTCTGGGAGGCGGGACCCAGGGAGGGAATGCATCTCCACCCTGGTCTCTGATGGGGTGAAACTGAGACAGTGTGTTTGCCCTCTGATGAAAGAGCTAATTGACTGTCTTTGGACGCTTCTTCGAGTGGGCATTTCAAGTTGATGGCCCAGCCTCTCTGCCATGTTGGGAATGTGAGAAAGCAGGAATCCCAGCTTCCCCCTCCTTCCCAGCATTTCCCTAGCACTTGGGGAGGGCAGGGCTGGGTCCATGGAACAGGTGCCCGCCTGTGTCCAGCTGTAGGCAGAATAACACCACCCCTCAGAGATGTCCTAACCCCCAGATCTGTGAATGTGTTAGGTTACATAGCATAGCAAGGGGGAATTTCATGATGCAGGTGGAGTTGATTGCCAACCAGCTGACCTTGAGATGGGGAGAATATCCTGGGTTATGGGTGGGCCTTACGTCATCACCAGCATGTTTATAAGTATAAGGACAGGGGAGAGCCAGTGTCCCAGTAAGGTGGTGTGAGGAGGACTCGACCACCACTGCTGGCTATGAGGATGGAAGGGACCCCAAGCCAGGGGGTGCTGGGTCTCGAGATGCTGGAAAAGACAAGGAAGGGCTTCACCCTTAGAGTCTCCAGAAGGAACCAGCCCTGCCAACACCTTGACTTTAGCCCAGGGAGACTCATTACAGACCTCGGATCTCCAGGACCATAAGGTCACAAAACTATTTGTCTTAAGCCACAAGGTTGGTGATGATTTGTTCTAGAGGCCACAGGAAAAGAATACAGAGCATTTCCCTCTGGCATACTCGAGGCTGGAACCAACTACCTCTCTTTGAGGTTCTTGTGGGTTGGGAGGCAGATCAGAAGGAGACCAGAGCCTTCTCTCCTGCAGCCCAGCTGAAGCACTTTGTTAGTTTCCCTGTGGGGTGTGGGGAGTTCTTTATGTGCTCAGAGGTATAAAGGATGGGGGTCAGGGCAGACCTTGCTGATTCTCCCCTCCCAGGGAACATCGGTGGGGCCAAAGGGGTTTCCCTGATAGATTGTCCTGAGGGGAGCGGTCTCAGGGCAGCAGTGGAAAGCCCCATCCTTTAATGTCTTGCTCACCTGCTTATGGGGTTGATCAGAGTCACGGGCTGGCTGCTATTGGTGCCCTGGGTAAACAGAGGTGAGGAGTCCCAACTGGCTGGTGTGGTGCTTGGCACAGGCTTGGGGGAGTCTGTTGGATCCGGTTCTAAACACACAGAGCAGAGCAAGGTTGTGAGAGTGACGCAGGTGGCTCCCATGGCCTTTTCCACTCCCCACCCCCAGGGTGGAGAAGCTTCTGTCTTAGGGACATCGCTCAGGCACATTGGTCTACTCTTGCATCTTTTTGGTTTCTCAACCCAAACCTGCAATTACGTCATTTGCAGGGAAACACCAGTTCACCACCGTGGGAGGTGTGTGGAGGTGGGGAGCTCTGCAGCAATTATATTCAGCTCAATCTCCGTGTCCTGTTTGGCATCGCTGAGCATGTCCGAGCTACGTCCCCACCCCTGGAGCTTTCAATCAGCTCTTCTCTGAGTCTCAGCTTTGCCCGAAGCACTGTGACCCATGAGCTGACTGGCCCAGGGTCCCCTGTCTCCTGCAGCTGTCCAGAGACTGGAGCCCCCGTTGTCCCCTCAGTCCTGCCCACCTCTCTGGGCCTTTCTTCCTGCACCAGGCCTGCCAGCAAAGGCTTGTCTGGTTGGAGGGTCCAGACTCCACATCTCTGGCCCCAGCTCCTCCTGCACTCCCGTACACATCCACCCACCTTTGTGGTCTTTTTCAGTTAATCTCTGGACCATTCTACACCAGTGTAGCTGTCCACTGCCCACATGCACACACCAGATTTGCATATGCTAAGTGTGAGGAGACTAATGAGTAGCAGATGTATTTCCCATTTAGTCTGTGTGTCTGCATGTTGGGGACAAGACTGAGGGGTCCGGAAGTGGGGCTGTGTGGAGGGGGGCTCCAGCTGGACACCCTTTCGAGGCTTTTCTCCAGGGAGGCCCTAGTGCCTCTGGGGCAGCTGTGGGGTAGCCCAGAGTCCCCTCCAAGGCTCAGAGGCAGCCAGAGAGGGGGCCCCTGCACTCTGTTGGAGTCTGCCTTTCCTTCTCCCAGAAATGGGTTCAGAGTCTCTTGCTCCTTTGTGCTTCTGTTGCCAGAGGAGGGAGAGGGAGAAGGAGTGGGCAGGGAGAGGGTCTCTTGTCCTGCAGCTGAGACCATCAGGATCACAGCTTTCTAGCACCCACTTCTCCCTGCACACCTGACAAGGCTCCACTCAGCCTGGGGCTGCAAGGGGATGCTGTGACTAGGGAAAGAGGAGCTGCCTTCCCCGGACAAATCTGTCCTAGCCGAGTCTCTGCTTCTTTGCTGCCTCTGGGGAAAGCAGGTGGAGACATGCAGAGATGTGGGGCTCACTCTTTCTTCCAGTCTTTCCCAGAATCTTAGTGCCCCCCCATACTTGCTTGCACACGCACACAGTTGCACAAACACACACACACACGTGTATTCTCGGGTATGTTAAGAGACTCTCCTCTATCCATAGAGAAGACAGAGGGACAGTCCTGGAATATTAGTTGGGGGGTACCAGGGCCCAGATCAGTGTGGGGTAATGCATACCTGGGTCAATAATCACAGAAAATTTGAACCCCAGGTCTGAACCGATTCTCTCAATCCCACACCAGTAGGTGCCTGCATCGTCGTACCGGAGATCCTCCAAAGTCATGGTGAATGTGCGTCGGCTGGGATTGTCCTGGATGGAGGCTCTGCCCTTCTTCACCAGTTGCTCTGACCCGGTGGTTTTTACAAGGATCTTGCAGGACATCCAGTTTTCTCCACGGCACCACCACTTGTTGTAGGATTCCCATCCTGGGCCATACACACAGTGTGTGGTCAGTGTGCCCGTTGCTGTGCCTCTCACCACCCCATCCTGGCATTTGGAGAAGTAGCCTAGAAGACAGATACCCGACATTTGTCTCATCTTCTCTTGAGCCCTGGGCTCGTCCGGATGCTTCTGGGGCATCTGGCGCTGCCCTGAAGATAGGCCAGGAGCCTCTGCTCTCCGTCTAATCACCATATCCCAACTTGTTCCTCTATCCCCTGCAGTATAACTTTTGCTGTCCCCTCTCTCAGATGTCCCCTTTGGCCAATACAGGGGCCTCTGCTCAATTGATACCTACTGACCATCGACCCCTCTTGCGTCTTCTGCCAACACCTCTCCCCAGCAGTGCAGCGCCCACACAGCAGCCCGTGGTGTACTTCCGAATCCCAGAGATGCTGAGACAGAGGGTCCCTCCCCACGCACCCGCTGACACTCTAAACCCTAAACAACTAAAAACCCTCACCTCACCCTTTGAATGGACACATGGCATTGGACTAAGCAGACACACTCACACATTCACACACACAACCACCACGCGCACACACACGATTGCTTATTTTACCTTACACCTTGCTCTTCTGAGTCTCCATAGTTTTGCACAAGCGGTTCCCTCTGCCTGAAATATTCTCTCTTCTCTGCTTGAAGGCAATCAACCCCTTATATTCATCCTTCAAGGCTTGGCTCAAACACTGTCTCTTTTATGGGGTCTACAATTCTGCAGCCAACTGGGTGGCTCCTGGTGCCATCAGAGCATTTGCCCCTGTCTCCGTTGTTGCGCTTACGACACTGGATGGTGGTCCGGTCTTTGGCTCATCCAGAGCAAGACTCGGGCAGCCTGATGTGTGGGACTGAGCAGGTCTTCAGAGAGCCTGTCACCCTGGTTTTGCTGCCTGTCCTCCTCCCTGTATCTGAGCTCTTCAGAAGAGAAGATCCAGGCTCTAGGAATAAGTCAAGGTCAGTTGCGCAGGCTTTTAAATGATCCAGATACCTGAACCCCATTTTGATTGGGTGGATTTCAACTGGAAACTGAGTCCCTGTGCTCCTTCAAAGCTGGTCAGGAATTCATGCATTTACGTGTATGTGCGCATATGTTTGCGTGTATGCGCCCTCTATCATCTACCATGTATCCATCCATCATCTGTCTAACTATCTCTATCTGAAAAGGCTGACAAGCACTGTCCTAGAAAACAGATGCTGTTTATGTTGTTTACTTTCTTATTTCCCCCAACACCAACTTAGTACCTGTCAGATAACAAAACTTAAAAAAAATTTTTTTTTAAAAGATTGAGTGTCCAGATGAGTGAAAGGCCCTGCTTGCCATTTACCCTGGGATGGACCCTGACTGTGTCCTGCCCCAGCCATGCAGGTGCTCCCTCCTGAAGCCCCAGTTCCACTCACCTTGGATGATGAGAAGGAACAGAACCGCGAGCGGCCACATGTCCTGCCTGCCTGGGTTGTCTCCCTGGAGCTCAGCTGATGTCCACTGGCCTCCGGGAACTGGAACTGAGCTCAGAGGCCACTTGCCTTTATTCTCTCTAAATTAATCCTTTTTAGTTTCTGTCATCTATTTCCCTTAATTTTTTTTTCTTCAGTTACTTCCTAATTTTCTTATTAGGAGAAAGGCAGTGCCAGTCTTTGGATAGTATTGTTGACGTGATGAGGTGTACCCTCTCCTTGGTCTGGCCCCTTGCTCAGCAGCCCCTGGAGTCTGTCCCTGGTGACCTTCTCAGGAGAGCCCCTGCCCCAGTGTCTAGCACCACCTCCAGTCTGTGCACACCTACTTCCTGCCACCCCTAGCCCCAGCCCAGGTCTGGACTTCCATTGGCTCGTGGTGTCTTTGTAGAGCTATCTACTATGTTAGCTACTCCAAGGTGCTCAAAATGTAATTTCTTGTCATCTTTATTCCTAAAGTCAGTTTAGGGTCCAGCACATCCCTCTCCACCTGACCCTACAGACTAACCTTCCTAAGACAAAGCCCATGGGGGTCTCCTTCCTGGCACCTGCCACCCTCAAAACGCCTTGCTGGGAAGGGGTTCTTGGAGATGTAGCAGCCAAAGGCTTACCAGCAGAAGTAAGAGAAGGTATAGTGGGCCAGGTGCAGGGAGGGAAGGGGAATAAGAGTTCCTGCCCCCTTCAAGGTCCTTCTAGCTGGACTAAGAATCAACTTGAAATGAGACAAATTAATAGGAGAAAAACAAGTTAATAGCATATGTATGGGGAATGCACAGAAATATGATTGTCAGGCACAATGAGTTTGAATGTCATCCTGAATTAAGAGAAGAGGGTCGGGGTTTGGGACTTCAAAAGGAAGGAAATAAATTCACAGGAAGACGAAAACAAGTAAATCTTTGGTAGGCAAATGTTTCGTTTCCTCTGCCAGATAGATGAGTTGCTCAGATTAAATTTAAATTTAAACCTCTCTGAAGTTTCACACATTAAAAGTTGCGCCGGTAGGATGTTTTTTCTCATAGAACCAGTGTATTAGTCCTGACAACAGGTTGGTTTAGGCAGACTCATTTCAGAAGACAGTGATGCCTCTGGATTCACAACAGCAGGCCTATGGAGTAAGTCATCAGGTGTTAAGTAAGAGGTGTTTCTATGGAAACAAAAAGAATACCATGAATAATAATGGGAGGAAATGTTAAGCCAGGTTCTGAGTTCTAAAGGCAGGCAGTAGAGAGCAGACTTCCATACTTCTAATGTGTCCTGTCACAAGACTATACAGATTTATTGAACTGAGGCAAATAAAAAGATTGCCATGAAAATTAAAGAATACTCACTGACAGTTCCAGAAATTTGGAGGGTTCAGCTGAAGAGCAAAGGGAAATGTTTCCATTTGTTCACAAAGGTACATCTTATCAAATTGCTCTAAGTCAGTTTAGGAGACAAAGTTTCTTTACATCTGCAAAAACAAAGCATTAAAAAAGTAACAAAGTTTCAAACAAAAAGTCATGAAGAGTATAATTATTCTCAAGTTGTTCAGAGTTGTGTTATTAATTCTTATTCTGCTTGAATCCAGTTTTTGTACTACTTCTGGATATTTTCACTTAGTTCAGATTTACGGTCCTAAGGTTATCAGAAACTTGTTCTCAGAGTTTCTTCCATGAATCTCATGGAAAAGGAAGCACATCTGCACATTTATTGAGACATCTGAGTGTAAGTGTAACTGTCCGTAAATGAGGAAAGATTTAGAAATGGCCAAGGTTGGAGATCTGCTTAGAGTTCTTCCACTGCAGCCAACAAGGAAACCTGGTTATTTTTGTGACACACAACATTTATTTCTTTATTTCTTATTTTTTTCAGTGTTCCAAGATTCATTGTTTATGCACCACACCCAGTGCTCCATGCAATACATGCCCTCCTTAATACCCACCAGCAGGCTCACCTAACCCCCAACTCTCCTCAATTGTGAGATAATATCACACCAAGACATCAGATTTCTAAGAGTTTCATATAACTTTTAGGACAAGTATTTTAATACTTTATCTACATAAATTTATATCACTTCTTCGGCAACGCTTCCCATAGAGGGTAAGATACCAAATAAGACTCATTAGTTTAATGTCACAAAATCTCTGAAATGTTCCACGGGCTCTTTGGAACACCCAGACTGTGGTCAAAAGACTTTATTTTACTCAGCATAATCTCTTCCAGTCCCGTCCATGTTGCTACAAAAGTTGGGTATTCATGCTTTCTGATGGAGGCATAATACTCTATAGTGTATATGGACCACATCTTCCTTATCCATTCGTCCATTGAAGGGCATCTTGGTTCTTTTGAGGGAGTTGAGGGAAATTGGAAGGGGAGGTGAACCATGAGAGACTATGGACTCTGAAAAACAATCTGAGGGGTTTGAAGGGGTGGGGGGTGGGAGGTTGGGGGAACCAGGTGGTGGGTATAGAGAGGGCACGGATTGCATGGAGCACTGGGTGTGGTGCAAAAACAATGAATACTGTTACGCTGAAAAGAAATAAAAAAAAAAGACTTTATTTTAGAATTTGATTTTGGGAAGTATGTCACAAAATATCAAAATTGTTTGAATGTTTGAATAGGATCACAAATCATTATGAAACAATGTTTAATCATCCTTTTAACTGAAGTGACAGTACAAGATACTCAAGGCAAACACAGAAAGTTACATCGTTGTGAGCAAAATGTAACTCCCTTCATACTAAGACTCAGCTTTCTTAAGTAATCAAAGATGTGATAAACAGAGGAAATTATTTTGTCAACTAGAATCATGGTGTTTTAGGCAGATAACTTAAGTGACAAAGAAAAAGTTTTTTTAAAAAAGATTTTATTTATTTATTTGACAGAGAGAGACACACCGAGAGAGGAAGCACAAGCAGGAGGAATGGGAGAGGGAGAAGCAGGGAGCCCGAAGTGGGGATCGATCCCAGGACCCCGGGATCATGACATGAGCCAAAGGTAGACGCTTAACTACTGAGCCACCCAGGTGCCCCAAGAAAAAGTTTTGCTTACAATTTCTTATGGAGAGCAGACCAATAGTTCAAGAAAACTGTACTTTTAACAAAGACAAAACAAAAACTTTGCACCATTGCACTTTTGATGTTAAAACTCATTTACTTATTTAAACGTATCATAATCTTAACCAATATTGGCCACAAATTTTTTTCCAAAGATCCTTCCTTTGTAAACCTTCTAGAACTTTTTTTTACATTTAGATTTTGTCCTAAATGCTTCCTCTTGAAATAACTGGCCTCACGTAAGGACAAACTTATTTTCTTTTCCCCCAACATTTATGTCTTTTTCTTCTTCATGCTTTTTCTTACCAACAACACATATTTTACTTACTTCATGTACAGAGTTGTTATTTCTAGTAGTCTTAATTATGTTTCTCAGAATTCCCGTGCTTCAAAACTTTAATGTCCTGTGAAAACCAAGTTGTAAGCAACTGTGAGCTCTGTCACAACAGAATTCTTTAGATGGGCAAATTGATGAATATATTTTATAATTTAGAGCTGTCCTGCTTTCATAATACAGTCTTTCAATAAAGCTTGAAATCTGCTTATTAATAGACCCAAATTTTTTAGTCTCTCTATAATAAGACAAAAGTAGATAAACTTCTGTTCATTATTTTATCTTATTTACATCTGTTTGATTTACTTGTTTTTAACAATTAGGCTCACACTGCCCCTAAAACTTCACAAGGCATTTGGTTAAAATCAACAACTATTCTAAGGTTTGTTTTTCTCTTGGTCAGTTTGTAATAGAGATTCCATGATCTTATTTGACTTTTAGTAGACAGAAGCAGAATAAAAGTTTTATATTGAATGGTGATAACTCTAAAGACATATTCATTTTAAGTAAACCAACAAACTTAAATTAGCTTTACTGAATATTTTCCCAGATTGTGTGAACCTCAAAAACATTTGGGTGAGTTTTTACCTTTCTGAGTATAGAACGCCCAATGCTTAGGAGTGCTTGCCCTCCAACTAACTAAATAGACCTCTTTTGAAAAAAAAATTTTTTTAAAGATTTTATTTATTTATTTGTCACAAAGAGAGAGAGTGAAAGCACACAAGCAGGCAGAGAGGCAGGCGGAGGTGGAGAGAGAGGCAGGCTCCCTGCTGAGCAAGGAGCCCGATGCGGGGCTTGATCTCAGGACCCTGGGACCACGACCTGAGCCGAAGGCACTGGTGTTCCCATTGAGCCACCCAGGCGCCCCGAAAAAAATTTTTTTTAAAGATTTTATTTATTTATTTGACAGAGAGATCACAAGTAGGCAGAGAGGCAGGCAGAGAGAGGGGGGAAAGCAGGCTCTCTGCTGAGCAGAGAGCCCGATGCAGGGCTTGATCCCAGGACCCTGAGATCATGGCCTGAGCCAAAGGCAGAGGCTTAACCCACTGAGCCACCCAGGTGCTCCTTGAAAATTATTTTTAACAATACCTCCCATTGGTAGAGAAAATATCTCACATTTACAACATACATGGAGACACACCACACACACACACACACACACACACACACTACACAGACAAGATGCACATAAAATCTTAATTTTGTTTATACCTATATTTGTGAAGAGGGCATTATAGGCACAATTTTTAAATACTTTCCTTGATATTTATTTATTTTCACTAAAAACTTTGTCCTAAGTTTACCTTAGTCTCTTTTCCCTCTTTTTTCCTTTCTTTTCAGTCAATTCAGGAGATTGGGGCTGTGTTTACATTTCAAAGATATAATGAGATTTATGATTTCATGGGACCGAGCATGAAAAAAATTGTTTTTCTTGAGTTTCACAGTTATTGGTGTATAAAATTTCCATTAAGAAAATTCAGAATGTTTTCCTCCAATATCCTGATTATTTATTTAGTTAGTCACTACTAAGGATTTTATTTATGTCTTTGAGAGAGAGCAAGCAGTAGAGAGAGCAGGAGTAGGGTGAGGCAGAGGGAGAGGGAAAACCAGGGAGTCCCACACTGGGCTCCATCCCAGGACACCAGGATCATGACCTCAGCGGAAGGCAGACACTTAACTGATGAGCCACCCAGGTACCCCTTCCCTGATCTTTTATAATATTCTGAAACATTTTGAGAGTAATAGGCAAGGTTTGGAAGTTGAGAGAGCTAGAAGGGAGCTTTAACTTGTTTCTAGAGCTGTAGTCATCCTTTTGTAGAGATTTCTACAAGGACAGTTGTTTCTCATTCCTCAAAGACCTGATCATAGCCCGCATATCAAGCCACTGCCCCATCTTGTTAAC